ATATGGTGCGACGGGGGATTTGTCTCCAATGGTCGCTGTATTGGGGGGATTGGTTGCGCAGGAAGTCTTGAAGTCATGCAGTGGAAAGTTCCATCCGATACAACAGTTCATGTATTTTGACTCTTTGGAATCTTTACCAAAAAGCGTCGAACTCACCGAGGAGTCTTGTCGTCCCGTAAGGAATTTATTTATACAATTTGAAACCATTTCATGTTATGATAATTGAGTCTAACACTATAATCGATTATTCAGATTGGCAGTCGTTATGACGGTCAAATTGCTGTCTTTGGCAAAGACTTCCAAAACAAAATCGCTGATTTCCGCGAGTTTTTGGTTGGTGCTGGTGCAATTGGCTGTGAGATGTTGAAGAATTGGGCCATGATGGGTTTGGGTACTGGGCCTCGTGGTGAAATCCATATTACGGATATGGACACTATTGAGAAGAGCAACTTGAATAGACAATTTTTATTCCGTCCCGCTGACGTTGGCGTAAGTTCTCACTTGAATTATTGATAAAACAAATGTAACCGCTAAGCATTATGTTAATGCTTGAATTCCTTTCGTTTTTCCGTCTGCGCGTAGAAATTGAAATCCGAGACAGCAACAGCAGCGATTGAAAGAATGAATTCAGGGATGAAAGGAAAAGTCATTGCACATCAGGATCGAGTAGGAGTAGAAACTGAGAGTATGTAAATTATGAAAAAAAATTTTTTGATAGGATTATTGCACAGACTAACATTTGGCTAATTGGCTCTGTAGACGTTTATGGCGATGCTTTCTTTGAAAGCCTTGACGGTGTTACTAATGCCTTGGACAATGTTGACGCCCGTAAGTTTTAATTATATACTCATACCGAGGTTGTAGTATTGATTTGGAATTATCATAACCATAATAATTTTTTTTTTCAAAGGAAAGTATATGGATCGCCGTTGTGTGTACTTCCGAAAGCCTCTGCTCGAATCCGGAACACTTGGCACGAAAGGCAACACTCAAGTAGTCATTCCATATTTAACAGAATCATACTCTTCTTCCCAGGATCCACCAGAAAAATCCTACCCGAGCTGCACTCTCAGGAACTTCCCCAATGCTATCGAGCACACCATTCAATGGGCTCGAGATTTGTTTGAAGGACTCTTCCGCATACCGGCTGAAAATGTTAACACGTATTTGCGCGAACCTAAATTCGTTGAACAATCGCTGAGCCAGGGAACGAGGGCTAAGGAAATTTTGGAGGGAGTGCGGAGTTATCTGGTTACAGCTAGACCATTGAGTTTTGACGAATGTATTACTTGGGCGCGCTTCAAGTTTGAGGAATATTATAATAATAATATTCAACAGCTTTTGTTCAATTTCCCAAAGGATTCAGTAGGTTTCTTTGTTGCATACCTGCGTGTTAGTATAACACGGGAGTTTAACGTCTATTTGATCTGTGATTTTGTAGTTGACATCCTCCGGCACTTTGTTCTGGTCCGGTCCAAAAAGAGCACCCGATCCCCTAGTATTCGATTGTAATAATGTATGTATTATAACAGCGCACATACGTTAAAGAATAATGACTCATTGGATTTGTATCATCGCAATAGGATGCACATTTGGACTTTATTATTACTGCGGCCAACCTTCACGCGTTTAACTATGGTCTTAAGGGTATGCAAAAGCTCCAGACATTTTTCAGTAAATTACTCTAAACTAACTTATTGTATGTAATAGGTGAAATTGACAGAGAATACTTTAGATCAGTTTTGAGTATGATAGAAGTACCCGAATTCAAACCCAAATCCGGTGTGAAAATCCAAGTACAGGAGAACGAGGCTATTGCGCCACTGGCAGCTGATGAGAAAGAACTTCAAGAAATAATTAACGATCTTCCCACACCCTCATCTCTTGCCGGTTTCCGATTAAATCCGGTTGATTTTGAAAAAGATGATGACACAAACTTCCATATTGATTTTATTGCTGCCGCGTCCAACTTGCGAGCAATGAATTATGGTATTACACCGGCAGACCGTCACAAGACCAAGTTTATTGCCGGAAAGATTATACCGGCCATCGCAACAACTACATCTTTGGTGACAGGGTTGGTTTGTTTGGAGTTGTATAAGATTATTGACGGAAAGCAGAAGTTGGAGGACTATAAGAACGGTTTTGTCAATTTAGCACTGCCATTCTTTGGCTTTTCAGAGCCGGTTTCTATGCAGAAATTCAAGGTAAGAATCGAAAGAGAATTAACAAGTATTTCATTTGCATAAAATATTGAAGACTTTATTTTTGTTCAATAGTACCACGAAGTTGAATGGAGCTTGTGGGATCGATTCGACGTTGAAGGTGATCTTACACTGCAAGAATTTCTGGATTACTTCAAGAACGTGCATGAATTGGAAGTGACAATGTTGTCAGCCGACGTTAGCATGTTGTATTCCTTCTTCATGCCAAAGAAGAAGGTAGAAGAACGAAAGACCATGAGGTGAGCTTTGCAGACATCTAGATTTGATTGCCTACAAATACTTGATAATTTGACGCCAAACTGTTTAATAGAATGTCTCAATTGGTTGAGCAAATAACAAAGAAACCTATTCCTCCGCATGTACGGGCTTTAACATTGGAAATGTGTGTAAATGATCGCAGCGGCGAGGACATTGAGGTACGCGTTTGCTCTTTGCTGTTTTTCAACATTTATCTATGAAATATTAACGAGTCTTTCATAATTTTTTTGCAGGTCCCTTATGTTAGACTCGTTATTAGAAAGTAGATTAGTAAGAAATAACACATGTGTCACTCGAAAGAGGCTTTTCTAATTGACAATGTAAATTATTCATCTTTTTGCATAGATTTAGCTGAGATCAAGTTAAAAGTAATATCTGGCTACCCCTGTATATCTTCTTGTGGTAAATAGCTATAAGACCGCGTTAATGGTTTTTTGGGATTGTTGTACCAGCAGTCATTAACGTGCAATCAACATTATTTGCTTAATAATTTTTCGTAAAGTTCTTGACCTTGTCTATAAAAAATTAATAAGTGAAAACAAAGATTATGAGAATATTACAGGTGATAGCTTATATCTCACATTATGATCCCATTAATTTAATCGATTGCCCAGAACCAAGCCTACGAATTAGTTAAATCTTGTTTTGATAATGTTAAGATGTTGTTTGTAGTTGGCCTACTAAAGTGCACAATAATAAACTGTTACTGAGTTACTGATTGAGCCAAGTTTCGATAATAATAACGCATATGATAATATGCGGCTTTGGAATATGAACAATACATACCAATGGTCGTTCGTGTAACACGCTTAATATCCGATCTTTGGGGTAGATAAACAGAGGCGTTTTCGTTTTGCAACCACGCTTTCCCCGGTTTGGAGACTTCGTTCATACAGATCTTTCTGAACCGCCAGAGTTGAAAAGCCCATTCTCCCGACTGCGTTGACTAGTGCTCTTGAATTTGTCATTTTATGATAGCATCTAATTTCTGTTGTGAGCAAATTCCTTATCGTTATGCGCGATCCGCACTAACGACATGATCGAATTTTCCCTTGAAGTGGAACGTCAGTTTTTCTTCAGTGTAAAAGACAAGATTGAGTTTTTTTCCGGCTGAATGCCGCGCGGACACTAAACTCAATGATTTCTTTTCGAGTCACGAATTCTATGGTCAAAAGTTACATTACATCAATAAACTCCCTTTTTCGTTAGATCTGTACTCCGCGTCTTAATTATGGTGACGCGATATAAAATAAATGTAACGGTGGCCATGACGTAACATACTAATACCTCATAATTACTGTACTTACTATTGTTGAACTAATACGAATATTCGGATGACTACATAGAAGTTTATAGATCCACCTTAGAATACTTGAAATTCGGATGACTTGACAAGTCGAGAACTCTAATTTGCTACCTAAAAGCCCTAATATTCTCTTGTAATATCGGGTCTCGTTGTGTTCATGCGGGGGTTAAATTTTTCTTGCAAAACAGTCGCGCGTCAATTATTCAAGAATGGCTGTGTTATCCAAATCATTAATACTTGGAGAGTATCCGCGGAAACCATTCGTTAATGTTTTTCGAGCGAGTTTCTTATTCACGATATCGGATTTGAATACCATACTCGCATTACAAAGAATGTCATGAGCGCTATCATACATGTCTTTATCTGACTGAGTGGGCTTTCGTGCGAGTCAATAAATTTAAAACTTTTATTCAAACTTAATGGAAAAGGTGGGCGGTCTATATACAAAAAAAAGGAAGTAAAATTGTTGGCTTAAGAAAAAAGACCGTGCTTTTTCTTTACCGAATTTTTAAAGGGGTTTTTGTTTATAAGAAATTTACAAGATATGAATGGTTACAAACCATGTCGAGAAAGATATATATATAAAAAGAGAGAACTTACGCAATGGAGAAATGTAAGTACAGGTAAAGGTGTGCGAATAGGTTTTAAAATAGATTTTAAACTTAAAAAAATAAAGTAAATGGTAAGTGGAGTAAAATAATTCTAAATACATAGTAAATATAACGGATAGAGGAGGGGAGAAAGCTTGTTGCAAAGAATGCAAAGCTTGATACATATAAGTTGCACAATTAGGATGAATATGTATGTTGTATACATATATTCAAATTTGATGGCGAAGTAAAGTTATCAATAAGCGAGCGAATTTTCAATAGAATAAAATCCGCGGTATACAATATTTGTTAAAGGGGAAACCAAACAATTGATCGTTCCAAAAAAAAAAAAGTTTTTAACGTTGATCACACATTCCAACTTCCTTTTCTCTCTCCTATTACAATGTCTCAAACAAACTCGTCTTACTATCAAAGTTCAATAGCGTAATAACCTCCCAAATGAAGCCCTTCTATATCCTCGACACACTTCACCATCTCTGCATCACTATTCGCAAGAGTTGTAACAGACTCTGTCGAGCCGTTCGATGCCGAACTATGTGAACTATCGTGCGAATAATCGCCCAGGAACTGATTCGCCGGCGTAGAAAAATCCATCTGGCTATTCATGGAATACCACGAACAAGCGGTAGCCGACGAATCGGTGGATTCATTTCGCAACGTCTTGAGACTCGGCTCGTTATCATTAGGCTCGCAAAAATTTCTAGCATTTCCGGCTACGACACATTCCTCTTGCGGCGGTATCCTTTCTTGCTCAACTTGCTCCTCGGGCCTATGGGTATTCCACACTCTTCTTTTTGCTCTGCTAAAGGCATCGTACTTGGCCACTGTAAACTGTCGGCATTTGAGTATCCTGGCCCGTAATTCGTCTAGTGAGATTCGTGCTGAGGGGTCGATCCGGAAGATGTCTTTGAGGATGGAGTTGAGCTCATCGGTAAGAGGGAGGATGGTCTTGAGAAAATCTTGGTCCCAGAGAAATGCGGCAAATGTTTCGTCGCTGAGACAGGCTTGTTTCCAAGGATTGCGACCACAAGTAAGGTTGATTAGGATTACACCAAGAGACCAAATATCGTTAGTGGCTGTAGCGTAACTTCGGACTTTTCTGTATAATCCCCCTTGGCATTCTGGTTGTGAAAAAAATAAAAAATAAGAATGGAAGCGCAAGAGATGCAACGAACTAGTTTATTATAGATAACATGATTGGTATTTACCTGGACTCATGTAAAAGGTCGAACCGCAACCAAAGTCTCTACTCCATTCTTCTGTTGTCGCGAGCCCAAAGTCGGTCAACTTGACAGTTCGACCGTCATCAAATACGAGAATGTTTTCCGGTTTCAAATCTCTGTGGTAAATGCCTTTCCGATGACAGTATTGCACCGCATCCAATAATTGAACAAAGACTTTTTTGATCAACAAGTCTCTTCCGACGTATCCACCTTTCTCGGTGATCATTGAAAAAAGATCACCTCCTTGACAAAGTTCCATAACCACGTTGAGGGAGTCGGGAGTGTCGATTATCTTTTCTAACTTTACAATATTGGGGTGGTCGGAAACTTGCGCGTGATGTGCAATTTCGGCATAGTGGAGACGGGCTTGACGTGCATTTGAGAGCGATTTCGGAAGGCATTTGACAGCGTGTATTTTCTTTGTTGTCGGATTCATGGCTGAATAGACGACACCGTATGCTCCGATGCCTATTATGCTGCAGAGTTCTAATCCATCTATGCGTTGGCCGAGTTTATCAGCAGGATTGAAGGTAATGTTGGACATTGTGATAATGATGTTGTTGTTGTTGTCGTCGTCGTCGTCGTCGTCGTTGTTGTTGTTGTTGTTGTATTTTTTTTATAAATAAATTTACACGGAATTCGGGAGAAAGGACAAAGGATTGAACAGGGAATTTAAAATAGAGAGACTATTTACACAGTTGCATATAATAAATGTATATAAAGAACAATAATAATTTCTTTTCTTTCGAGTTGATTGTATCAGGCGCTGCCCGCTTTTTTGGGTGAAATTTGAATTTATAATAGTCTATAGAACATGAATTTTTGAGCGAAAGGGTAAAAATAATAGCAGTAGTCGAGTAGTTTTCCAAAGAGTCGACCAATGATATTAAATATGGGGAATGGATGTTAATGTAAGTAAGTAGGTAGGAAGGTTTGTTTTTTGGTTTTTTTTTGTCTATCGAAATTGAAGGGGGAAAAAATTGGCTATGAATCTTTTTCCTTGAGAGAAGACGTGGGGGAGACACTAAGAAAGTAGCGATAAAGAAGTGTAGACTTCTCTACTTTTTGACAGGAGGGCAAATTAGTGAATTTATATAGATTGGTGTATGTAAATCGATGTAGGTCTCTACGCCTGATGATTATGCATGCGCAGAGTGGTCATTTATAGGCGTTGATAGCAAAAAGTCATATGAATGCGACTTTCTGTATAGATAAGCAAATATAGCAAAGTTAAACAGGGGATTTGATAATGCTCGATAAAATACTTGTTTAGACACAATTTTGTCTTTGGTGTAATTATTAAATATTTACTATACGAAAGCGAAAAACAAGTTGTTTGATAACGTGTTAGAGATTATAGTCTAGTTAGTGGGTATGTCTTTTATTAGAGACAAGGGAAGATAGACCTGTTGGGACTGAGGGGACGTTGGGGAAGGGGGATTTAAAAGTATTAAGGTTCTGTTTGTATAACACTAACAAAAAAAAAAGAGAAGATTATTACGAAATTTGTAGTATATGATTAAAAATAATAGGGAATATGGAATGGCCTGGAACAAATGTGGTGCAAAGGTATAAATTAATATATGGATTTATAATTCCAACCTGCTCAATAAACAACAATACTCAATACAACAATACAACAATATACTGTCATGGATATTATTTATGTGTCATGAAAACGGTTCGTTTCTATAAAAGTGTATCATATAATGATGAGAATTATGAGAACCAGCCCAGTTAAAAGCTTCTTATTCGGCATTCTGTTTATTGGATCAGTTATTCCCTGTGACGATCGTTAATTTATCCTATTTTATATAATAACAATTATTAACATGTTAACATATTTTCCACTTGTGTCCTTATTTGGTGCTAACATTCTAATAAGGCTGAACTTTTGGTAGCAGATGTGGGGAAGGCCAGCGTAAATAAAGACACACACGTAACAAATACTCATTATACATATTATACCATCATTATACTATCCTAACACAAACAATTGCAAATAACAAAAGATGACATAATAAAGCATAATTATATTATTAGCACATCGGTCTGAGTACCAGTGTCTGTGTCTGTAATTAATTATGTGTGTGGGAAGGTAAAAAAAAAAAAAGAGGTTGTCCCGACCAACCCAACCCGTTCACTGTAGTGTATACAAAAATTATGGCGCTGTATGTGTAATTTGCAAATCTTATTGCGGGGTCAGAAACAGGTTCTTGCATGTAGGGTTAGACGCTGTGTGACTCTCAAATATACAATCTATCTACATCTAGGTCACCCGACATATTAACCACTCTTTGAAAGGAAAATTGCCAACAGTTGTGGTTCGCATTGGTCGCAACGTCAGACTATTATGTAATGTGTATGTGTTCAGGTCATATCATGTGTGATTTCTTCCACCAATCACGTTTGTCATAATAATCGGGTGAGGGGGGCCGAGGTTCTAGGTTAGAGATCTTAGCCCCAGGGATTTGCACGATACCAAAACGAGTCAATTTCCAGAACATATTAGGCACAATGAACAGCAAGGTGCAACCAAAGAGAATAATAGCACATTATGAAAGGAAAATAAAGACCCGCGTAATAGGGTGGCGCATAATTGCGTGATCTTTGAAACTCGTATGATGTTGTCATATCATCGTAGTCTGTAGTCATAGTCCAATACACACATAAACTGGGGTATCAAGCTACTTTCGACCTCGTCATAGTAAATGGTCTCTCAGCTATACCGACAATAGACTGTGGTGTGAAAAGTCCGTCGTATTGTATGTACTGTTTAATGTCAATCCTCCTTTTTTCCTACAGATTGTACAGCATGTGGGTGCAGGATGTGGAGTCGCATATCCGATGGCCGGAAAAAAAAGTGCAGAGATGAACAATGCGAAAGCATGCAAGACACAAGGACCTTTTGTTATTCTGATTGTATACAATTCATTGTTAAAACGAAGACTGGGACGATTACTGGTTTTGATTGGCACATGCAAAAAGAAGAGAATGTGCGCGATATCAATGACAAGGTTGTTATACAACACAATTTCAAAAAAGAAAAAGGAATTCCTTATTATCCCAAGTAAAGAGACAAAGCATTCAATAGGGGAATATAATAACAACTACATGTTATTTAGAGATGAGCAGATAAGCAAATAGATACAATCGATGGAAAGAAGGCGCATTTATTTGTATAAAATAAACAAACAATACATACTAATAATACAACAACATATGAAACATAGACATCTGCTCATTGTTCTTTCTTATTTACCCTATTCCACCCCCCATCCCGTTCTATCATTATATTATTATAAACAATCGCTTTTTTTTGTTTGCGTCTTAAAACACAAACATGACACGGTTCACATCACATCTGCATTGTCTTTGCAAGCACATTATGCAATCTCTACCTTATCTCTCCTTTTTGCTTAATGCATAATGTTCCTAGCGCCCGCTTGCTTCTCAGTCGAGCTCAATAACGTCAACAGCACAACCCAAATGACCCCAAGGACGTTTGAGCTTTGTCCCCGTATCATCACAATTTATGTTGTTTTCCGTCTTGCCGGTCCACCATCCGCCACGGAACCCAGACCTACTTTCAAGAACCGGCGTAGATTGAGATATACCGAGTGACAAGAGAGCCAACACGAGAATGACAAGAATTGACTTCATAGTTTGTAAAGAAAGAGAGCGAGGTGGTTTGGTCGACGAATGAATGTTCGTTTTTGGCCAATAATCTTAATAATGGTCACGAGAAGACAAGCGAATTATTTTTCAAAGGACGGGACTACTTCTTGCCGCTCTGGGCTTGTTCCCGGAAAAAGCGTTCAGGTCAAAAACTCATTGCACTTCAACAAACACTGTCGTATCCATTCGTCATCGGCTCTCTAATTCGTTGTCGCAAGACTTTGTGTCACGTTTCAATAACAGTGTGTTACATACAAAATTACGCCATGGCGGATTTTTTATCGGGGAATTGTAATTTTGATGGATGGTGAGAAATGAAATTCTTTTTGGGGGGAGAGGGGGAGGGGACATTCGCGATGCGAGTTTTTTGGAGGTGGCTGTGCTTCTGAGTGTGGGTAGAATTACAAAGACTTGGAATAAGTTGGTGGTGCAAAGTAAAAAAAAAAATGTAAAAATAGTGCTAACCTTGACACTGGGCTGAGTTCAGTCAAAAAAAGAGACTTCTTCTTCTTTTCCCACAAGCTAGTTTACATAAGATATGCCCAGTTCAATTTTGATAAATTACTATAACCATATTTGGCTACATATCTTGAACGTTTACTATTCAACATTATTTATATAATATTAGTAAACAGTATTAGTATGCATCATCCTTTGATTTTCAGGATAATGAGTTGTGATGCAAAGCATGCGGGAACTCTTGTCAGTAAAATGTACGCTTAGATGTTAGCACACGTGAACGTATATCAGATTGGTAAGGGATTATGCGAAGGGGAGTAAAAGAAAATGTATATTTAAGAATAGGAACAGTATAAAACAATGCCAAAGGTGTTTCTGTTGTTAAATGGGCGTTCTGCCGATTTTGTTTTTGGTTGGTTGGAAAAGGGCTCGCATGCTCCGGATTTACTGCTTACTATATTACATTACATTAGGTCTCGTTCTTTTTTTACGCCCAATTGGTGCGGTCTAGACGGATCGTCCTTAACAGTCATCGAGTACGGCAACTCTGCGTAAAAACCCTTACTTGGAAACATGAGGACCCGCTATGCACTCTGACGACATTCAAGTTAAATATGAAAATGAAATGAAAATCAGTCCAAACAACGACGCAAGTCACAGCAGCTTTGAAAAGCATGAGCCCGGGTGAGAACCCGTTCTAAAAAGACTTGTAACATGAAACTTTACACAAGAGATAAGCAATGTAACCAATAGTTTTTGACACCAAGCAATGAACGAAAATGACTGTTTGATAATGCTACCCAGTTTATCGTAGCTGATAATCGTTGCGATTTTTAGGTTACAATGTTGTTAACGTAAATGCTTGCTCACTCTCTCTCACGCTCACGCTCGACCCCATTTTGCAGAGATTCAAATAAAGGGAAAATAATAATTATACTAATTATGAACTTTTCTACAAAATTATTATTAAAAAGAATAAATCTTACACTAATGCTAAGTAAGAAAAAAAGAATTATTATTTTTTTGGATAATTTATTCTTTTTACAAAAATTTCACAAACTTTCGAGTAAAGGATTTGATGCATCCTCCAAGGTATATATATAAAAGGAAAAACAAAAGCTATGTTTTAAAATGTCTTTTCAGACGAACTCTAGTTCAATGTCAGATTATCTTTACAATGAGAGTGATGCGAATAGTGGAAATGATAATGCCCGTAAATGGTGACCCCTTCCCACAGATCTCTTCTCTATTACAAGTTCCTTAATACGTATTCTAAACATATAACAGACAAAACAAAAAGAAATTGTTAGCAGGTCGTAACATTCTACTTTTTTGGTTTCACAAACAGTCCCCGGTTCGTACTTACCGTAAGTCATTGGTAAATGATCAGTAATCATGTGCGGCGAAAACCATATCTCCTCAAACATCTTTTCCACATCTTCGATTTCCAACATATTATACTTCTTATCATTATCTTTTCTACACTCATCCTCCTCCTCCTTATCCTCATCATCGTTTAAACAGAATGGCATTCTATCCTTTTCTATAATCCAATACAACTTTCCAGCTGGATATAATTTGGGACATGACATTATTGAATGTACTTTTGATCTTATATTCCAAAAGTATTCCTCAATCTCTTTCTTGGCGGCCTCTTTCTCGTTCTCATCGTCGCCAGAGAACTGTTTCGATTTGTATTCAATCACTTTGGATAAAATGGTCGACATCAGGTCTTTGTTTGTCTCCGGGTCGATCTTCGACCCCATGTAGCAAACCATGTCACGCAAATCTTGCACGTGACCTAAGGATAGACGGGGAATGAAATCGTTGGCGTATGCAACAGACGTGGTTAGGGTTTTGGACCGTTTGGATAATTCGGCAGACATTACACACGGTGTGGCAAAGGCGTAACAATGAACGCGACGTCCAAGAGGAAGTTTTGACCAGCGTGTTGTCATTCTCGTCGTTGGGCTTGCCCACAGGAGAGCTAGCACACTTGCAACACCTAGGTGATGGTGAGACGTGAAAATGTGGAAATGGGAAAATATTAGCATGAAACAGTTCTCGCATACTGATCCGATGATTGTTCAGTAGATTATTAATCTATGATCCCAAAACCTAACCTCTCCCCCGTAACCTCACCCTCGCAACCACTCCCACACAACCGCCTCGTCACCCAATCTACCCAAATCTCTCTCCCGCAACCTTTCCCCCACCCAAACCATTCGTAATCCAATCTACCCAATCTCTCTCCCGCAACCTTTCCCCACCCAAACCATTCGTAATCCAACCCCCTCGTAATCCAACTATCATGCGAAACACACCTGCCCCGAGCGAATGTCCAATGAGAACCAATCCATAATCTTCGTTCTCTTCCAACTCCTTATTTAAAACGTCAAACACACCACCCTCCGCTCCTGGAGTAGACAAATCCTTGGCTACTTGCCAAATTCCCTTGTGCACTTTATATTTTGTTTCATCTCCCCTTTGTATATCTTCTGGTAACTGAAAGTCCATGTATTCGCAGGATAAATCAACAATCAAATCATGTATGGACATTGTCCCTCTCAATGCAAGAATAATACTCTTTGTATCGTGATCTTTGAATAAAATATAGGTAGGCTTATAATGACTGTTATTTGTTGATTGTACTTGATGCGAAGTGTGAACGATGGAATGAAGCGGAAGGTCATTGACGCGAGCAAACGTATATCGCTGTAAACGACCGTTTTCTCGCCATATAGCCGCTTTGTAGGGAAGTTTGTTGATTATAGCAGTTTTAAAGTCGTATGCAGTTGAGGAGAATTTTGAATACCGTTTTAGATTACGAAGTAGAGTAAATAATTTTTCTTCTTCCGGCTGATTAACATACTCTTCGAGATAGGGATTGGAAAATCTTTTAGTAGTTTCGGCAAATAGAGAATTTAAACGAGGCGAGTACACATCAACAGGAGCCGACCATCTTGGCATGCCCTGCTTTTCGTCCCTTGTCAATTCACCAACGACCAGATTATCCGTCTTTGCTTGTACTAGAACCATTTCTTCATCTTCTTCATCCTCTAGCCATTCGAGCCCGTCATATAAGGAATCGCTATGATTTATCTCTTCCCACTCCTCCAAGACGTCTCTCAAATCAACCAATTTAACTTTTTTCCACCCTGTCATCTCCGATTCCCAACGCTGACTCGTGATGCACTGTAAAGAGGCCCAGGCAGCTAAAGCTTTTATTATTTGAAATACACCCAATGTCCCAATGGCTTCACAGTCGTCGAATTCTTCTTCGCGGACGACCCATTCGCGTCTGACTAGAGCAACAAATTCGGCAAGGGCTTTCGCAGCGTCGGTTGTTCCAAAAAGAGTATCTATTAAGGACGTGCTATCGGATACCGTCGACAATGTGTATTGCACCGTTTCGGATGTTATCTCTAGTCCGGCTAGCGCGATTTGTTCAGTTAAGGAAAGGGTTCGGTGCAATAAATCTGTCGAGGCATCGATAAGTCTTGGAAGAAAGAGCCGTCTATGTTAGAATTGATTGTTAGCGAAGAAGGTATTTGTTTTGTTTTTTTTTTGTTTTTATTTTTTTTCTCTCTTCTTCTTTCTTTTTTATTTTTGCAAGAATTTCTTTTCAATCTCGATTATTTGTAGGGAATCACGTAAATGAACGATCACTTGATAATTTTTAATGTGCATTTTATTACTCACCCCATTCCGTCCTGAGTTGCTTGTATCATAGCATTAGATACTACGCCAGTGACAGCCTTGGCAATGCTAAGAGAAGTTTTCGTAGACAGTTTCATTGTATCGAGAGTGAATTTTGTTATTATTCCAGCCAGGTCCAGTCCTGCTCTTGATGCATTTGTGATGCTGGATATTTTAACAGCTAGTTGCGAGTGAGGTTGATGAATCAAAGCGGATACGGTGTTTGGTGAAGCTTCATCGTCTTCTTTTCCGTGTTCAAGCGTCTCCCCTACTTTCTCTCCTATTAATTTTTCGTTTCGTCTGCCGTGTGAAATTCTCTGTCGCGGATAGTAGTATCTATCTGAAGCGTGTCGTTCCCAGTCTATATCATTTACTGCAATCGAAGGGAGACAGATACCTGTTGAGGCAGAAAGAGAAAAGGTGGCACCTGTGGGGGCAGAGTCGTAAGTTTGTTCAGTTTGTAGCAAGTCTTTATCGGTTTCGTCAGAGTCCTTTCTCGGATAGTCTTCGTTGATAGCCATAGTGTCAGAAATAAATAAATATTCGAGGAGTGGGGAGAGGGGATGGAGTATAAGAGTTTGCTGGAACTGGTGGAATATGTGGGCAGTCAAGCTTTATGAATAACCTCGACTGAAAAAAAATCGGTGGGAGTAACTACACGAAACATTGACGACACACTTAAGTAATACTCGATACAAACAAGGATCGAACTGTCAGATGATCAGGAAAAAAGTGGGGTAAATGATAGCCAGTTGGGATGCAAGATGACAAAAAAAAATCCAATTATGGGAATTTTGTGAGAAATGCTACATAAACATTCAGGCGTTGTGTAATTTAGGGGCATGTTGGGCTGTTGTAAATTAAATTACAATAATCATAAGATATAAATAATTATACACAAATAAAAGATTTTAGCAGCATATTCTGATTTAGTATTGATTCCATATGTACGCTCCTTCATTACTATTTACGGACGATATAGACGAAATCTCATGAAAAGATGTTGAAAATTCAAAAAATTGTCTACTTGTCCCAGGTGTGTATCACATAAGGTCGTCAGGGAGTGTTACCAAGCCTGAAACTACCATCTACATTCACGCTACTCTGACTCCTTATGACACTCGTGTTCTTTTTTCTCTTTCATCACATAGTTTCTCATCTAATCGCGCACCCTTATGATAGGTATTAATAATTCCAAATAGGGTAAAGATATTCTTGGTTAATAGAATACTGTATATATTTATGTTATGTTGCTAAAAACGCTCTTTTGTGGCGGCTTTGTCTGCGTAATCTCCGATGCAAACTGCCGTACACGTGGGATTATGATATAATTAATCAAACAGGATAGATGGTACCACATTAAATGTTAAATGGCTTGGGAATGTTTTCTATCAATTAAAAAGAGATGGGGATGTTAAAAAAGTATTAGCAATTATGAAGCAGACAATGAATGAATTGAACAAAAAAAAACGAACATGCTCTTGTGACGTGAGAAAGACTCTCAGCCCAAATGGACGCTAACCCAAATAACGTATCGTGCTCTGAATAACAATCCGACCCAAACTATGCAAGGTCCCCATTGTAGGATACTTTGCATACACTGTTCATTGTCTCTTTGGGAGAGAATGTCAATAAGCACGAGGATTCCTTCTCAAAAGACAAGAATGGCACAACAATCGTGATGGCTTATCTTGGCAAGTCACGCCACTGGATATTTCCAACAAATGGGAGAGTATCGATACTGTTACACATTCATTAGGGAGAGAGGAAGGGGGGAAATACCGCGATATAACTTTCAGAGAATAATCAGGAAAGAACACTTAGACGACATCGCAATGGGAAAGAAATAAAATATCGATGACAATGTTAATAATCGAGATAATGATGGGTAAGAATGATTGGATGGCAATGTGGAATATGCATAATGGGTAAACATTAGCATAAGCAAGTTTTTTTAAAGTAAAAACTATTTTCATCGGACAGAAAAACTCGGATGGCAAGGGCGTAAACAGGGAGAGGGAGGGGGGAGGGAGAGAGGGAGGGAGAGGGAGAGAGAGGGAGAGAGAGGGAGAGAGAGAAGGGATAAAAAAAGCTTTAGATGGATTCTTTTTTCATTTTCTTTTCTTCTTTTAAAATAAACCGTGCAGGTTATTACCGTCATTGGTAACGCCCCCGAGTTTTATTCGTTTTGGTTTAGATTCCTTTTTTTTTTTGTTAATCCGTTTTCGATTACCCTTTTCACGTGTTCGATTCTCATTGACTAGAAACTTGCGGATGACGGCGAGGGTAGGACCGTCTCTTGACAGTTTTGCTTGCCCGCAACAGTTCAGTCTTGCCAAAAGAGCAGATTAGCGTTAAATGATTTATCAAAGCCGAATACTAACCAATACGGTAAACTAATGGCAAGACGGTACAGGAACCATACCATTTTAGGCCCCTCTTTTCCCAAACCTAACCACGATAATTCTTGAGAAAAAAGATTTTTCAATAACTACATAGACTCCCCACGTTATACCCAAGAGGGAAGAATAGATACTTTCTTTACTAGACCAAAATGGGCCGATTACTCCCAATATAATGCTAACTATGAAACTAAATTTAAGTGATAATAATAAACTGCATGGTTCAATATTAATCGGATGTTACTTATTGATCGTTGGATATGAACCGGGATGAGACCTTTCACATGACCGCTCAGTTTTTACATTATGTGAGGTGTGTAACTTTATTACGTATTAATATGATAAAGAGTAGAATTTGATGAGTGCGGTCTACAAAGAGCAATATCTCGCATTTTATGAGAATACCAAAACTAAAAAACTGTCGGTGAATATCGTTTTACTTGTCACTGAGCAGATTAATAAGTATTGAACGCGAACAATATACACTCGTACCCCGTTTATATCTCCCCTTTTGTTTCGCCTCAAAGTGGGGATATAAACGAGTTGGGGATATAAGTGTACAATGCATCTTATCGTATAAGGGTATTTGTTTTTATAAACGTTGGGGATATAACCGGAGGTGAGATATAACCGGGTTGCGATATTAATATAAACGGGGCACGAGTGTACAGTCAAGTTTTACCTAACCCATTTGAAGTCATTTAAATACATTCGCGTTTAATGAAATGGCCATCGCATGCTGAACAAGCGTAGAGAATAAGAGATAACTCTATGACTGTCAATGTAATAATGTAATACCAACCCCTCCAAAAATACACTGTCACGTTGGATGAATCGCGACCAATTGAGGAAATTTTTATTTTCAATATGGAGAGTACCGAATTGACGAGGCTACTGAAAGTCGTTTTTATTTAACTTTTTGGAATTGTTTACAATTCTTCCCTCGCGTAAGGTAGTATATGCCCTACTTTTTGCAAGAAATAGTCTCATTATTGTTTGCGTTTCGTACAGTGCTGTCAGTTGCGATTTAACTTGAATAGCTTATACATAAAACACACAAATAACACACACGTATATGAGACAAGCGTAAGCACTTTTATTGCTTAACACCTCTGACCTTTGAGAGCAAAAACCTCATACTCTTCCACGGTGAACACCTCACCGTCTCTAATTTTAATGTCATAATTCTTGGGCCGCGTTTGTCCCGCATTCACATTATTATATGGATTCGTCAACGCCAAATCTCCATCCCCGAAATTTAGCCCGTTTCGCCTCCAAGTAACTGCCTGAGATGTGCTAGTAGGGCGAACGCGACTGATAACAACATCATCAAGTATTCTCCAGTCCTTGATAGAGAATATAAAGCTATCCTTGTTCGAATAGTCGGTCTGCCAAGAAGACGGATTATATCCACCAATTAATTCGTCCGAGTCTCTGACTTTTATTATAATAATAGTCTTGGCAACTGTTTTGCATTTTGAGTAAAACGTGTTGCCATCAAATCCGTCACGACTACCTCTCACCAAGAGTTCAAAGTCATACGGTAACTGCCTGGTAGAATACGTGTCGGGGGCCTTGCCATCCACCCAATCGGATAGTAGCACGGCGTGATGAGGCGTTATAAAGTTTGAGTCAATCCTTGTTGCTCTGGGATTTTGTAGGTGCTGTTTCGGTTTATTAAGAATGTACGCCCAGAGCGCCTCTTCATACAAGTCTTCGGGTATAAATCGCTTATGCGGTTTTACCTTTTCGTAAAAAGAATTGGCCGGGATACTAACAAATCGTATCAAGGGTGTCAAGCTTTCAAGAGTTTTTTTCACGCCATCGAGGCCTCCGGGTTGTTTCTCACCCCATTTGATTAGATTATCCCATACGTTAATTTCGTCCATCGCCAGTTCGTTAGAATTGATCACGCTTTCTATGATCTTTACATCCATAGACGTAAAGTTTTGAGACCCGAAAAATTTCTCTGGGTTTTGGCTTATATGGTTAATATAAAACGCCTGAATATATACCCAGCCCGAGTATTTAAACATCTCTGGCAATATGTTGAGCCTGTCTTTTAGCCATTGACAATGTTTTCTTACAACGTGTAATTCAACGATTTTCACGAGTTGCGGAAGCAACAGTCTATCAGCTGCTTGCATAATTTTTAAGAGGCATTCGGGTTCGACGTCTTTAAGCGAGTCGACTACGCCTTCACAGATATACCTATTGTACGAAAGTTTGCACAGCGTGATATTGTAGACTAGTCCAAAATCGAAAGCTGTCAACTTACTTGTAAAGTATAGTAAATACGAAAGGCGAAATGGTCGGTTCATAGAGAGTTATGGGAGTTGTATGGTTCCATCTATTGGATAGTGCTGCCTTGAAGTACGGTGATCTGATTTTTAATATAGTTGAATTAATATGAAAAGTTTCGGTTTCACTCCCCTCGCCAACCCTTGGCATTTGGAAGATGATGTTAGTGATTTTTCAAGTTGCATTTATTAATATTAATACCACGTAATAATATACACACTTTATCTCGACATCGCTTTTTAAATCTTTAAAGAATGATACCGTATCATCAAGGAACTTTTGTCGAGCCTCATCACTTGCTGATGCTACGGTTGGATACATGTCTGATTTGCGCGGGTTGGGCAAGTGAATCTCCCCTCCTCCCCCTTTTGACATTTTTTTATCTATACCATTAAGACTGCAAAAACTTTGCTGACTAATAATCGTCTTCTCACGAACGACACGTTTAACTATAAAAGTCAGTATATACGGTTTAACTCGATCGATGCCCACATCTCTGCGACGCAAGGTCTACAGATATACGCCACACGATAATTGTTCAGCGTGAGTGTAAATTGTTCCGAATACAGAAACGGGTAAAGAATAGACTTGCTCATCTTCAACATTGTTGTCTGTTTTGGGCTGTGTCGATCGCTTCTTACAAACTTCCATCAGACAATATGACTGTATTTCAATAGTTTGTTGTTGTTATATATTAATTGTTAACATGTTGGTCCGTTGGAAAATACAGTGCTGAGGGAATCAAATATGACGTAGATAATGATGCACGTACGCAAATTCATGCTTTTGCACTCTCGCTAATTATAGTCGGGTGCGTTGTCGATCTTGCCATGAGTAGGTGTTGTGATCTTTTTACAGACAAGGCGTTAGAAAAAGGAATTCAAAGACAAAGACGTTCAATATCGATATTTTCGCTATTGTTATCGTGATTCTCTTTTGGAATTCAAAATGACTAGTCGACTCGTATGGAAGAGCATTGCGTGTGAGTGTCACCATTGCGGTTTCATTATTAAATGATTTCATTAGTAATACCATTAAAATACCTCGTGTAATACTGTGAATAGATAACTTAATCTCTAATCTAAACTCCATCAACACTGTTTGTGGGTGTAACAATGGCTTCTTCTCCTATTGTTCCTGTAGAAGATTCGTCTCGTCTGTCAGTTAGACAGACAGACGTTCGTCTATAGATTCTTTAGAATATTCTGCCCGATCTGTAACACAGAAAGACTATTTTTTCGAATATGTTGAAATCGTCAGATGATTCATTATTAATAAAGACACTGAAACGGTATCGATGAAAAGCCCTTTCAAGAGTTCAAGTATGTCAAGGCGTGACTTGTCAATGAAGACATGAACGCTTGATACAACATGCCAGCTGATTATTTCTACAAGAGGTAAGCAGATTTTTCCTGTTGCATTGTTATACAAAAGAAGGGTTATTTACTATTACGTCGTTTATTAAACGCATCACGCTTAAATAATCCATTCTTAAAACGGTTCAAGGAGCAATGACAATCGATTTGACTTGGTAATTTATTCTCTGTTAATCTATTGGTTGGATGGCAGATGAAATTAAATGTTTTATTGGAGTTGCAAAGATTCAAGTGCACAATTATTGTGTCGACAGGCAGACGCAAAGTTCTTTTGACTGTTAATAACCATTTCCAAATGATTACTTGTAACCAGCATGATCTTGTGTTGTAAGCATAATAGAAATAAACTATTACGACATTGGGGTATACCACCATGGTTTCCATTTCAGGAACAACAATCGTGAGAATCGCTCTGATAATAGGTTGTATAGCACATTGCACTACGAGTCGCTTCGCCGCTCTGCTTCTCATGATCGACAGTATTTCAAATTGTCTGACAGCTATTATCTCTCACGGTTTATGAAGCCATGATAATGTGACACAGTGCTTGCCCTGAATATCACACGTGTGTCTTCCTATGCTGTTGTATTTGTAACATACTACCGCACGGAGTTACACAACAGCCTGTAATATTTAAAGTCTGAATTAGTATCCGGGTTATTGAGAATATATCAAGAAGTCTAGGCTAAAACCACTTGGACGTTCCACAGACTAGTTCAAATTTCCAATTTTAAAAATAATGTCAGGCTCATACGCGAAAAAATGTTATTATTACGATAATAGAGAAGGGGAAGGTTCCGTGAAATCAAACCCATTTCCGGCTTATCAAGGGGTTTCGACATTTATAAATATAGTATGGATCGTATTAATATCCGAACGTCACCCCCGCACATGGTTTATTCGCGTACCTGCTCTTTGACTAATTTATTCATGACTAGTTAGTTAGTTGATCGATCACATGGAAGCGAGTAACTGGGTGTGTGATTTAATGACGCTTTACAATGCGAATCGTGTAACAGATCAAATAGTTTCTTCTCTCCTCTTTTTCCCCCCTCACGAACGATTATTATTTTGGGCAAGGGAGTACGTAATTCTGATGATAATTCTCCCATCTTGAGATCTACTACGCCCCATTATGCGAATTCCCAGATCAGTAGATGAATAGAGCCTTACCGTTGCAACTAATCTGCGAGGAGGGTCGAAAAATGAATCTATTCTAGTCAAATATAGCAGCACAAGGAAGAACCTGCGCGAACCAACCAGTTTGGCCAATGCCCGACTTTGATTGATGGATGAAAAAAGGTTGCTTTTGTTTAACCGAATTCTATAGATAATGTATGCTTATCATGTGAACTAATAGTGGCAAACTGTGACTTGCCATTATTACTCATAACGTTCTTCCATTACGATTGTCTCTCCCCTCCACAGTCTTTATTATTCTTTGCTGTGCCTGTCTTCCAAGTATGGCATATCATATTGCAGATTCCACCAAATCAAGAAGTATTCGATCATCTGACAATACAAAGTTTTTTGTTTTCTCCATTTGTCATTTCCTCTTATAGCCATATTCCTGTATAGCTTTGAATCGTACTATATTGAATGCAGACGAATTATAAATGTTTTACAGATACGCAGTGATTAGGACGAAAAAAAAAAATAGTCACCGGGAACAATGCAGATTCTCGTATGGCCGGCAATCTTGGGTGATGTTTGATAATGGATGATTGTGGTTGTGGTTGTGGTTTTGGTTATGGTTGTGGGTTCATTGAGTGTTCCGGCATTTAACGGTTACACAGTTGAAGCCTCTTAATGCAAACTCGAACTTCCCATTAACGGCTGCATGCATTTCCCAAAAGTACAATAGGAAACTCGGCTCAAAAATCAATACACCGCCCATTGCTCGGTGGTTTTTTATACGCCCCGCCGAAGGGGGCATTGTAAATGTATTTTTCTTACTAGTTATAGCTATATAGAGTAAGCTTGTGTAGTTTAGAAATAAACATTATGCTTTTTGCTTATGTCTTTGTTGCTATAATAAAAGACGGCATTTTTATGCGAGTTTTTTTGCGATTTTTCTACTTCCATTTTTTCTCCTTATGTTGATTCGCTTCGTCCTGGTTGGCGAGAAGAAATATTAACTTGTATATTATTTTTATAAATATAACTCGTTCTCTTCTCACACATATTATTCCCCTTTGACACTTTTTCACGCTGAACTTGCAATAATATATATTGGACATTCAATATTTGGACATTTTATTTAATAGCATATATAAATATATCATTCAGAATATGGGTTGTCTATGCTCAAGAAACAGAAAAACACCGAGCGACGAAGAGAACAACGTCAATATCAACACCGACGACGAAGACGAGAAAAACTACAATAAAAACAATAACAGTAGCAACAATAGCACTAACTCTAACAAAGACAAGAGGCATAACCACAGCAACAGCAACAGCAGTGCCGGCAGCACCGGCAGCAAAGTCAGCAGCATTCATAAAAGAATGTCTATACAATTTGAATATATTGATGGAAGACGATATCAAACTAGCATGCCTTACTTTGCTCCTGTTGATGAAACCGAAATTATAAGACTGGATTTAGAGGATACCATGTTGAGGTTATGGTGGGGTAATAGCTTTGGGTCACCCATGGCAGAAAGGCTCAATGGAGAGGGCACAAAAGTGTTGGACGTAGGGTAAGTTCAAAGCAAAGCAAAGCAAAGCATGTATACGTAACTCATTACCATGTTAATTCCAATTTTCGTTAACCATATTTCTCTCTCTTTTTCTCTTTATTTCTTTTTACCTGTTTTTGTAGATGTGGAGCTGGTAAGTGACGGAAGAGATGATGAAACAATTTGGGAATGTTGAGTACAAGGGGTTTAAAATTGATTGTTAGGCATGAGATGATCGGCAACGATAACGTCATATCTTTTACATCTCGTCGTGTTCACATACTAAAAAAAAATAATTACATTTCGTCAGGTTCCTGGATGTGTGATCTGGCAATTCGATACCCAAGGACCCTTTTTGTCGGGTTAGACATTGCGCCCATGTTCCCAGGAGAAAATCCGCCAAACGCCGCGTTTTTAGAATGTAACATATTAGAAAAGCTGCCATTCCCGGATAACACGTTTGATTTCGTGCATCAGCGAATGCTCTCAGGAGGAATAACACAAAAGCAGTGGGAAAATCATATAATCAAGGAACTAGTGCGAATGACAAAACCGACCGGATACGTCGAATTTGTAGAAGCCGATTCAGCATTCTACAGTTCTGGAAAAGTCACAAGAAGAATCTCCAATGCCTGCAAGTATTATAATTCATGTGACGATTAAAAAAAAAAAAAAGATCATTATTAACTGACGTCCCCCCTTCTCTGTAATTTTAGTAAAACGACATGCAGAGTCGAAAGGTCAATGTGGATTTATTGGAACACATATCAAAGGAATTTTGGAGAATACCCAACAAGTGACAAACATAACGCACGACGTAAAGGACATAGTGCTAGGGAATAGAGCAGGGAAGAGCGGAGAGATGGTAAGGAAACAAAATGCTATTCGCATAATTATGCTGAAATGAGAAAGTTTGCAAAAAGTTATCTCATTTGTTTGCTCGCTTATTCATCTGCCGTCTGCTTATTTGTTTGCCTGTTTGGTGCCTTTCGTTTGTTTGTTTGTTTGTTTACACCCACTTTCTTCTCTCAATCACATGTTTTTAGGCTCTCCAAAATATACTAGAAATGTTGAAATCGTTACGTCCCGCTCTCTCCAAATCCATGGAGATCACCAACAACCACTTTGATGCGCTCGTCGAGACGTTTATGCGAGAAACAAGCGTATATGAAACAATATGGCGAGTACATCGAGTATACGCCTGTAAAATTGATACACCTGTATAGGTAATTGACGCACCACCGCCACCACCACGACACAAGAAAACTACCAGTACCACACTACACTTCACCACTACCACTGCACCACACCACCACCA